ATACTAATAAGCAGCAGAAAGAAATCAGGAAAACAATCCCACTTACAAATTATTGATAATTGATAATCTTATTAAAATAATAAGATACCAGGAATAAACCTAACCAAAGAGGTGAAAGACCCATACTCTATAAACTATAAAACATGGAGGAAAGAAACTGAAGACAACACAAATGGAAAGACATTCCATGCTCATAGGCTGACGAACAAGTATTATTAAAATGTCTACACTACTCAAAGCAATCTACAGATTTAATACAATCCTTATCAAAATACCAACAGCTATTTTCACAGAACTGGGACAAACAATTCAAAAATTTGTAAGCAACCACAAAAGACCTCGAACAGCCAAAGCAATTTTGAAAAAGAAAAGCAAGCTAGAGGAATCACAATTCCAGACTTCAAGATCCATTACAAAGCTGTAGTAATCAAAGCAGTATGGTACTGGCACAAAAACAGACAACAGATTAATGGAGCACAATAGAATACTCAAAAATAAATACATGACTACTTGGTCAGTTAATCTTCAACAAAGCAGGAAAGAATATCCAGTTGGAAAAAAGACCATCTCTTCGACAAGTGATGTTGGGAAAACTGGACCGCTTTCTTACACCATACACAAAAATAAATTCCAAATGGATTCAAGACCTAAATGTGAGACCTGAAGCCATAAAAATCCTAGAAGACAGCACAAGCAATAACATCTCTGACACTGGTCATAGCAACATTTTTCTAGATATGTCTCCTGAGGTAAGGGAAACACAAGCAAAAATAAACTATTGAGACTACATCTAAATAAGTAGCTTCTGTACAGCGAAGGAAGCCATCAACAAAACAAAAAGACAACCTCCTGAATGAGAGAAGATATTTGCAAATAACACATCCAATAAGGGGTTAATATCCAAAACATATAAAGAATTTCTACAGTTCACCACCCCCTAAAATGTAATCCAATTAAAAATGAGCAAGTACATGAATAGACATTTTCCCAAAGAAGACATAAACCTGGCCAACAGATACATGAAAAGATGCTCAACTTCACTAATCATCAGGGAAATGAAAATCAAAACCATAATCAGATATTGCCTCACACCTGTCAAATGGCTAAATAAAAAACACAAGAAATAACAGGTGTTGGCAAGGATGTGGAGAAAAAAAGAACCCTTAGGCATTGTTGGTAGGAATACAAGCCGGTGCAACTACTGTGAAAACTGTGTAGGTCACTCAAAAAATTAAAATAGAAATACCATATGATCTAGTAATTCCACTACTGGTTATTTACCCAAAATGAAAACAGTAATTTGAAAAGACAGATGCACCCCTAAGTTTACTGCAGTATTCGTAATAGGCAAGCTATGGAAACAACAGATGAGTAGATAAAGATGTGTGTATACACACACATATATAATGGATTATCACTTGGCCATAAAAAAGAATGATATTGTGCCATTTGCAACAACATGGATCTACAAGTTATAATGCTAAGGGAAATAAATCAGTCACAGAAAGGCAAATACCATATGATTTCACTCATACGTGGAATTTAAGAAACAAAACAAATGAACAAAGAAAAAAAGAAACAAAACACAGATTCTTAAATATAGAGAACTGGTGATTGCCAGAGGGGAGGTTGGTGGGGTGGAGGTGAAACAGATAAAGGGGTTAAGAATACATTATCATGATGAGCTCTAAATAATGTATAGAATTGTTAAATCACTATAGTGTACACATGAAACTAATATAACTGTATGTCAATTTTACTAGAATAAAAAATAGTAAAAAAAAAAAAAAAATCTGTCAAATCCAAAAAAAGAGGGCTCAGAGAAACAAAATGAGAAATGAGACGTTACAAATGACACACCAAATTATAAGACACTACTACAAACAATTATATGCCAACAAATTGGACAACCTAGAAGAAATGAATAACTTTGTAGACATATACATTCCTCCAAGACTGAGTCATGAAGAAACAGAAAATTTGAATAGATCAATCACTAGTAAGAAGTTTGAATCAGTAATCAGAACCTCCCAACAAACAAAAGTCTAGGACCAGATGGCTTACTGGTGAATTCTACCAAACATTTAAAGAAGATTTAATACTTCTCCTTCTCACTCTTCCAAAAACTTGAAGAAGGAACACTTCCAAAATAATTTTATGATGCCACCAAGCTGACAAGAACACCACAGAAAAAGAAAATTACAGGCCATTATCAGTGATTAAAATTAATGCAAAAATCCTCAACAAAATATTATTTAACTGAATTCAACAATACAGTAAAAGGTTCATGCATGATGATCAAATGGGATTTATTCCAGGGATGCAGGGATGATTAAACAACCAATCAATCCAATCAACATGATACACCACATTAACAAAACAGGATAAAAATCATATGATAATCTCATTAGATTTGGGTTTGACAAAAGTCAACATCCATGTATGACAAAAACTGTTAAAGTAGATACGAAGGGAATGCACTTAAACATAAAGAGGCCACATATGACAGACCTGTAGCTAGCATCATACTCAGTGGCAAAAACCTGAGAGCATTTCCTCTATGATCAGGAATAAGATAAGGATGCCCATTCTCACCACTTTACTGATCATAGTACTGGAAATCCTAGTCACAGCTATTAGGCAAGAAAAAGAAATAAAAGGCATCCAAATTGGAAAGAAAGAAATAAAATGTCACTATTTGTAGATGACATGGTACTACATACAAAAAACTAAAGATTCCACAAAAGACCTGTTAGAACTAATAAAAGAATTCAGTAACTTAGCAAGATACAAAACCAACATACAGAAATTTGTGGCATTTCTATAAATTAATTAGGATTTATCAGAAAGAGAAAATAAGAAAATAATCCAATTTACAATTGCATCAAAAATAAAATATTGGGGAATAAATTTAATGAAGGAGGTGAAAGATCTATACACTCTAAGACCCTGATAAAAGAAAGAAACAAATAAATGGGAAGATATACCATGATCATGGATTGGAAGAATAATATTATTAAAATATCCATACTCTCCAAAGCAATCTACAGATTCAATGTAATCCCTATCAAAATCCCAATGGCATTTTTCCATCCAATTAGACCAAGTAATCCTAAAATTGTAGAAAACCACAAAAGATCCCAAATAGCCAAAGCAATCTTAAGAAAGGAGAAAAATGCTGGAGCATGCTCCCTGATTTCAAACTATAGGACAAAACTACAGTAATCAAAACAGTACAATGGCGGCATAAAAATGGATATACACACACTGATGGACCAGAAATGAATCAAACCCATACATATATGGACAATTAATTTACAACAAAGGAGCCAAGAACATTCAATGGAGAATGAATGAGTCTCTTTACTAAATGGTGCTGGGAAAGCTGGTTAGACACAGGCAAAAGAATGAAACTAGACCAGTATCTTTCACCATACATAGAAATTAACTCAAAATGGATTAAAAATGTGAATTTAAGACCTGAAATCACAAATTCCTAAGAGAAAACATAGATGGTTAACTCCTCAACACAGGTTTTAGCAGTATTTTTGTGGATCTGACTCCAAAAGCAAGAAAAAGAGCAATAATAAACAAATGGGATTGCATCAAACTAAAGAGCTTCTGCACAGTATAAGGAATCATCAAAACAAAAAGGCAACCTACCGAATGGGAGATTTTTGCAAATCATGTATCTGACAAGGGATTAGTATCCAAGATATATAAAGAAGTCCTACAACTCAACAACAAAAAAACCTAATTAGAAAATGGGCAGAGGATCTGAATAGACATTTTTCCAAAGACATACAGATGGCCAACAGGAACATAAAAAGGTGCTCAGTATCACTAATCAGGGAGATATAAATCAAAACCACAATGAGGTATCATCTCACAATGGTTAGAATGGCTACTATCAAAAAGACACGAAATAACAAGTGTTAGAGAGGACGTAAAGAAAAGTGAACTGTTGGTGTTAAAGCCACTATGGAAAACAGTATGGAGATTCTTTGACAAATTAAGAACAGAATACCACATCATGCAGCTATTCTACTTCTGGGTATGTATCTTTAGAATGCAAAAACACTGATTTGAAAAGATTTGCATTCCTATGTACATTGTTATGCATTCCTATGTACATGTAGCATTCTTTACATAGCATTCTTTACATAGCATCCTATGTACATATGCATTCCTATGTACATGTAGCATTATTTACAATAGCTGAGAAACGGAAACAACTTAAATGTCCATTAATAGATGAATGAAGATACAGTATACATATGCGATGGACTACCACTTAGCCAAAAAAAAAATGATATCTTGCCATTTGTGACATCAATGGACCATGAAGGTATTGGACCATGGTAAGTGAAATAAGTCAGATGGAGAAATGCAAACATTGTATGACTTCACTCAAATGTGGAATCTCAAAAAAACAAAAAACAAAAAAACAAAAAACAGATAGACATGAACACACAAAACAAAAGGAAAACAAATTCCCAGATATGGAGAACAGATTGGTGGTTACCAGAGAGGAAGGGGTCTGGATAAAATGAGGGAAGGAGGCACTGTATGGTGATGAATGGTAAATAGACTTTTAGTGGTGATCTCTTTGTAGTGTATACTAATGTTGGATTATAATGTTGTACACTGAAACTTATATATGTTATATACCCATTTTGTTTCAATTAAAAAAAATTTCTGAGCAGGAATATCATGATAACAATATTTAATTAAGGATGGTTAGTCTGGCTGCAAACAAACTATTAAAAACACCTAAATTTAAGCAAAAAGAATGCTTTTAAATATCTGTGAATGAAATAGTTTGATTTCAGTAAAAACTCAATATACTAAGTATATGAACCTTAAAACCACTTGTCAAACTGCTACTAAAGTTGACTCATGGACTCCTTATGCTCTTTCCCAAGATTCCAAAAAAGCATTTTTAAAAAGACCTATGTCTTAGACGTGCCTTGAACTATTATAGTTGGTAAACCAGTTACCTTTTCTACTTCTAGCTTTGCAGGTGCAAAATCTTCATCAAGGGCTAGGCATTGAAGAAAGAGTTGTAAGGCATCACCTAAAAAACCAGCATCGTGGAGTACTTTTCCTTTCCTGAAGTAGACCTTCAATGAAAGCACACATACACAACCTTTACTAACAGAATTATTTCTTAGAAATCCAAATCAAGGAAAATAAAAATGGTCTGCTTGGAAATGTGCATTTTGAAACTCTAAATGACTCTGAGAGTCCGAAGCATTTCAAAGGTATATTTACACACTTCCCTGGAGAAGCACTTCTGGGAAAATGACTTCAAAATCAAATTTCTAATTATATCACTTCAGTAATAAATCTAGAGATTCTTTTTTTTTTTTAACAGTTTTAAAGTTGTGCATACAGATTATTTCCCTTGTTAATATATATTTGCCTTGGGCATCATGGGATTCTGTATCATTTTCCTTATTAATTTAGAATTTTTACAACATCCTTACTATTGTGTCCTCAAAAGCATGGTTTTGAATGGGAAGAAATTATATAAAATAGTAACTTCTGGCTTAAAAGGACATATATGAGACATGAACTGATTTGCCTTGGCAATTTAATAAAAAGGAGAATTAATAAACTGATTACTTATAATACTTGCCTCAAGTCTTTTTTAAAACCATATGGGCAAAGCAACCTCCACTGTTCCCATTTACTGCATTAAATCACTGCCTAATCTGATCCCCATCGTTATGCCTCAATTTACAGCCTGAAGGACCTCTTCTCCTTCCATCAATAAACTTCCTTCATCAGTTTTCAGTTTGGCTCCACCTTTACAATGTGACCAGTTTTATGTGACGAAATTCTGTATAATAAGATCTCTTATTTTTTTTTTCCCTCTGTGCCTGAATTCAGGCTGTTCTTTAGTTAGGAAATAGAGGTCTTTTATAATTAAAAAAATTGTTAGATAGCCATCCACTCAAAATATTAACCCTAGATTTCTAGAGCTCCATATACTTTAAGAGTCAATCAATCTATTCTGTTAAAACTTATAACCATAACTTAATGCATGCTCCCTACAGGTTAAACTTGAAACGTATGCAAATGTGAAACAGTAACTTTACCTCAGGCCAGTTTGGCAGTTCCAAGAGAACTGCATTTAAATCTTCTATGGCTGCTTTAAACTCTTGGAGACCAGCATATGATTCCGCTCGGTAAATTTTGAGAGTCACATCGCTGGGCTCTGAAACACATGTTTTATAAAGGTTTATTTTAAAAATATTATTGTATAATCTACAAAATACATACCAGATTAAGAACTGACTTAGGGATTCCAGCCAATAACCACCAAAGTACAATACAGGTGCAACCCATTTACATGTTGAGTTTTATCTAGAAGTTTTATCACATGACTATTAAGTAGACATTGTGAGCACAGGAAATGATGGTTTTTAAGTACTGGAAATATTTTATAATATGAATAATCACCTTAAAGAAAATGAATGTTTTCTTAAAATAGGGCATTCTATACAAATTTGAAAAACGGGTCTTAGATGTTTAAAGATTTATCTTTCAATGATAAATCTTATGCTATGATAAATCTTAATTTTTTATACCTTAAATTCTAAGACCTTACTTATAAACAACCATATATGTAACTAGTGCACAGTGTACAAAGACTGACCAAGACTGTCTTAGGCTCAAACTAGTAACAAAGACTAACCAAGGCTCAAACTTAGGAGGGTATACAATGGTCCTGATTCTGGAGGAAATGGGGTGAGAATTTAAGAGGTCAAAATTTGAATTCCTGCCATTTGCAAACACTGGTATTGGATCATCCCAAAACAGATTTAATTTCAAGTATTTCTGAGGAAAAAAGCTTTGTCGATAATTTCACTACTACCCTCTACATCTTTACCTGAGAAACCAAAGTAGTATTCAATAGCATTCAGAATTTTGGTTAGCTGGTTCACCTATATGATGCTATAATCAATTACTGTAGGTACACAGATCGTAAAACTGAAGTCTGAGCCAGAAACTAATTTTCAGTGCATCTAGACAAAATTAATCTGACTTTTCTTTTAAAGCTATTCATCTTTGAAGCCTTCAAAAATGTATGCTTACCAACTAAAGCTTTCATCATGAAAAGGGCATAAAGACCCATAATGCCTCATTAAAAAGACAAAAAAACCCACTAATAAAACTCCCCAAGAGCTCCTTGGTTTACTCTAGTTTTTAAAGGACTGCTTTCCTACAGGTAAGTCTCAACAATGAAATTGGCCTTTTTCAGCTGATGCTTAAGAATTGGAACTAAGTATCTCAGGAAAATATTTCATGCTTCCCAAATAAAAAAGACATGTCTAGAATATTTTGTCTTTTGTTTCTTAAAGTAATAGAATTGGAAACCATTATCTCTGAACAAAAGCACATGGAAAGTGAAAGCTCAGCATGATTCATCATCAGGCAAGAATGAAGAGTCCTGGCACAAGGCTTGACCCTGTAGGTGTTCAAAAGATTTTGTTTTATCCCCATTTTATCCCTTGAAGAGCTTACAATCTAATTAGAAATGTTCATTTTATTGTGAAATGGGATCATGTAATCCTCATTTGACAAACACAACTGGAGTTCAGAAAACGGGAGAGCAGCGTGCCAAAATAGTCCAAGAATGAGTAGTCAACGCAAAAGCATCTAAAACCCTGAGCCGCAAAGGACTGCTCACCCAGAGCTGGGGTGCTTCCAGTAGCCTCCTTAAGACCCCCTCCTCTGCTCCAGCACCTCAGAGAGAGGGAGTTCACTGTTGCAAATCCTTGACTTTGCCAACTTTACATCCTTCATTTCTTCAATCTGACCCTGGTCTTTTCCAATCTTACTGCTAACAGCTTTTGTTAAGGGTCCAGACCCACATCTCGATGATTTTTGCAACAGCTTGCTAACTGCTCTCACTGCCTCCATCCGGTTTTACCCTACCATATCCTCACCATCCACAAGATCAGATGGGTATTTAGTACAACAGACCAATCCCTACACACCCGGCATCTGCCCATCCCTCCAGCCTTTCTTCCTGCATGGTCAACCTCCCCCTTTGGGCTCCAGTAATACCTAAGCTCACCCTGCCCCACACGTGCCATTCTATTTCATGCCTCCTTCCTTTGCTCACAGAAGTCCCTCCTTGTCACAGCTCTGCTTCAGTGCCGCTCTGCTGCCCCATGGTCTGGGGAACGGTTTCTCATCCAGCACGACTCCGCTCAGCAGTCTCTTCTCAAGATGCTTTAGTCTGAGCCCGCCTTCACTTGGCACATTGCAAGGATCAGGAGCGGCAGCCCTGAGGTCACACCGCCTGGGTTCAACTCCAGGCTCCTCCACTTGCTCGGCATGACTGGGACAAACTGCCAAACACCTCTGTACTGTTTCCTCAGCTATAAAATTGAGGATTTAAAAAAAAAAAATTATTTGTGTTTAAGAAACACCGCTTGGTGTATACTATTCTAGATGACTTACACCTTCAGAACAATCCTAGTTGGGTCTAGCATTATCCACATTCTCATAGATAAGGAAACCAAGCACAGAATTTAAGTACCTGGCCCATGATATAAAAACTGAGAAGTGGAGGATTCAAGATTCTCTCAGGCAGTCTGGCTCCAGGGTACTCGCTTGCTCTTCTATGCAGATAACAGCATTTACCTCCCAGGACTACTCCAGTGCAAGTTAATGCATGCAAAACACAACAGACTTGGTACCTTGCAAGTGTTCGCTGTATGATCATGTTCCTTCACTCTATGTGCACTGCATTCATTTTAAAATCTATTTTTGAGCTCCCTCCATTATTTCCTGTCTTTGTGTTCTCAAATCCCGGCTTTGCTAAATGTTTGCCGAACAGGGGGAAATTCATTAAAATCTGTCCCCTTATGCTCCTTAATTCATTGCTCCCATTTTCTCTTAGACCTAGTAATATCATGAGTCATCAGGCAAATTTAAAAAATGAAATAAAATTCTGCTACACATCTGAGGAAATCAGGTCTTTAGCAATCTGAGGAATTTCATGGGCTGAGGAACGTTCTCCGGAGTTCCAATTCCTCATCTTTGTTCTAATCCTTAGGGGTAAATGGTCAGTAATGGGTCTATGGGTTGTTTCCTTAGTTCATCTTCAAGAAACTTTGTTTCAGATTATAAAAGTTATAAAATGTTTACTTATAAAAATTTGAAAATTATACAATATTAAGAAATAAAAACCTTTCTCCCCATCATAAAGAAATAACTAGTATTGGCATAAAACATACCTTTCTCCTCTGTGTGTAGATTATATTTGTAATTTTATAGTTTTATGAAATCTACCATATATACAGTTTATAACCTGCTTTTTTGCCAATGTCATTAAATTCACATGATTTTTAATGGTCGCAAAGTATTCTACCATGCTCACAATTTAAAAATGTCCAACTCAGCATTTACTTCCAATGTTTGCTAATATAAAAAGTACTATCATGAACATCTATCTGTATGCCTTTACATTATCTGCTTATTTCCTTAGTCACAGTCTACAAAGATGAATGGCAAAGTTTTCAATACATTCTGCTAACCCTCCTTTAATAAAAACTTATTTTATATTCCCACAAGCTATGTATTTTTGTTTCCTGGAAAAATACAAAAAAAATTATTTTAATGTGCTTAAACTTTAATAAGTTTGACCTTTACAATATATATTTATTGATTACTTAGATTGTGTATGCATAAGAATAAACCTTCCATGTTCATAATCTTTTACTTGTTCTTCGGAGTGTTTTTTTCTTGGATTTCTGTATTGAGCTATTTCAACAATTTCAGCAGCTAACCAAAATGCCAAATTTCTTTGCTTTGATTACTTTTTCAAGTTCAGTATGGTAGGACTTTGTTATCATAAACTAAAAGCTGCCAACTGACAAGTTATTAGGCAGTGATTAATAAAGTCCAGGAATAGTAACTGGCATACTTAAGATCATAACTACTGGATTCAGAACATCTGGTTGAGATCCACTTTGGACAGTCTATCTTACTCTTTAAACCTCAGTCTCTTCGAGGACCTAGAGAATGCTGGTGACACATCTTCTGACTGTTGTGAAGACTACGTAAGACCACGCATGTTGACAACACAATGCCTGCCACACAAATGCTCAATAAACGTTAGTATTACAAAACATTTCTAAATAAGTTGGATAGCAGTGAGATTTGCTCTTGATACAAGGAATTAGGAAAAGTACTTTCTTTTATCCAAATAGATCTTTGCCAGTGAGCAACATCTTCAGGGATCAGTAGTGCAGACTGAACAAAAGGAGAAGAGGGGCGCCTGGATGGCTCGGTCAGTTAAGCGCCAGACCCTTGATCTTGGCTCAGGTCATGATCTCTGGGTCTGGGAGTTCCGCCCGCATCTGGCTCTGCACTGGCAGCATGGAACCTGCTTGGGATTCTGTCTCTCTCTCTGCCCCAAACCCTAATGTATGTACATGGCATGCGCACACACACTCTCTCAAAATAAATAAGTTAAAAAAAAAAGAGGGACGCCTGGGTGGCTCACTCGGTTAAGAGTCCAACTTCAGCTCAGGTCATGATCTCACGGTTGGTGAGTTCGAGCCCTGTGTCGGGCTCTGTGCTGACAGCTCAGAGCCTGGGGCCTGTTTCAGATTCTGTGAGACCCTCTCTCTCTGCCCCTTCCCGCCTCGTGCTCTCTCTCTCTCAAAAATAAATAAACATTAAAAAAAAAAGAGAGAGAGAGGAAGGTGAAGAAGAAGAAAAAAAAAAGAGAGGGAGGAGAAGAAAAAAAAAAAGACTGATCCTATTCTACCAAAGTGGGGGAAATCTGAACAGAAGTTTCCGTATTGCATTTTAGAGTCTAAGTCATTCATCTTGTACAGTAAAACACAGCACAATTTTGAAAAATATCTCTCCAATGCGAGTGGTCGAATACTATAAATTCATTTAAAATTTCACACGAATATATCTAAGCCTCTTAGAAATATTCCACTAAACAGAAAAACAATTCTGAATATACCAAAGGTTAATGTACAAATAACTAGAAATCTAAGACAATGGAGTTTTGGTAAATTTTTCATTGTCTGATGAATCAAAAAAGATAAAAAATGGCATTATTTAAAACAGAAAATATAATATTTACATAACCCCTTTTCCCATCTTCTGTATCAATAAGAGTATGCCATTTAACTGATCCTTGTAGTGATGCTGAGGCACTGCAAAAATCCTCAAACTTAAGTTAAAGTAACATCCTTAAAGAAAGGATGAATCAAAGATCTACCATGTTATAGGGTCTGTTTGTTAGAAGTCAATTTAGCAATATAAACCCCTGTTGTAGTGATTTTCAATAAATACCAATTTGCTACAATTTTAAAGGAAACACACCAAAAAATACACATTCTGTAAGGACAGATATTTTATTTTGTTCACTTCTATATTTCCAGCACCTAAAACAATGCCGTTTATGTACTAAGTACTCAGTAAGTATCTGCTGAAAAGACAGTATGGATACTTGAGATATGATTTATATGCTAATTTTTTTTGAAAGAGGGAGAGGGACAGAGGGAGAGAGAATCTTAAGCAGGCTCCACACTAAGTGCGGAGCCCAAGGGTGTCCGACCCAGGGCTGGATCCCAGGGCCCCGGGATCATGACCTAAGCTGAAATCAAGAGTTAGATGTTCAACCAACTGACCCACCCAGGGGCCCCTATATGCTAATTTTTTATATCAATTTTAGTCTTAGAAGCAATATCCACTGCTTCTACCTTTCAGTTCCAACTTGGTTATTTACTTGCCTCAAGAAAGTCACTGAAAAGTCTTGGAGCTCCCATCTTCAGTCTGTAAATTAGCAATGCGAAAGCTGCCCTCCTAAATCACATGAGCTTTCCTAAGGATCAGTTAAGATAATGGAAATGAAAATATTCTGTCAACTAGGAAACATCATATAAACGTCCAAGTGTTTACAGTTTCAAGTGTCTTACAGAGTAAGTTAGGACACGCAGAAGTTTACTGATAAAATAAATTGAAATTTCTTCACATTAACCTAGTTAAGATATTAAACACCTTCATATCTTCTTTAAATGTATTCAGTAGATACCTATAATCTGACTATTCTTTTTATAACTAAAGCCTTGCAATATCTGTATTTTATCAATGTATGCT